AGCGGGATTTATTTATTTTTAGATTCCACTAGCAACATGGGCCGGCGTTGCCCGTTCTTGATTCAAATATCGTACGACTCATACATCAATCGCTATCACTTGACTTAAAATATTTTTGCACTTCCTTGCCTTTAAAGGAGTGCCCTTTGCCGTGCTGATGTTGCTACATACCTTACTTGTGGCCTATCTCACAGTGCGAATTTTTCTAAGCTCTATACTAAACATTAAATCTGTTACGAAAAAAGAACTAAACAAAATGAACACAAAACGATCAGATTTAAAAAGGGACTCGTAAGTGGAAAAATCGAATGAAAAAAGAATGTTAACAACAAATACTTTTTCACACCCAACCCAGTTCTGCGGAATCAGAATCAACATTGAGTTTAAGCAAGCGAATGACCCAATTGAAGTAAAGTGCCATGCAGATTTAAATTTTTCCAACTTGAGACGAATGCAGCTATCGATTCTTTTGCATGCTAGTTAACATTCGTGTCAGTCAGCTATTAGCTCTCACGCTGGCCAATAGAATCTTCCTGACTATTCGTGGCAGCAAGCTATAGGCTCTAACTCTGGCCAGTAGAAAATGGCCGCAAACTACATGAAAACTGCCGTAGTAGGATGAGAAAATCAATTATTTCCACTATCGTTGGGAGTTGGGAAATGCAAAGTCGGTCTTGGAATTCCCGCTAAGTTGGAGCATGTGCATATAAATTTGGGTGCAAATCCGTCGACAATTGCGGCCGTGCATTCGTTACACACACACACACACACACACACACACACACACACACACACACACACGTTTCGACGTATGAGGATCTGACAGTTTATTGATTCAGTTATGTATGTTTGTGCGATAATATTAAGTGGCATTTAAGACCCGCTAGTGATTTACAAAGGAAGCCACATATGGAGCAAATGTGAGGATTGTGAGATGAGATCACTGTTAGATTGGCTGACCTTTTAGATCTTGCTCTCGCGTCTTGAAAATGATTTAGACAAGCAGATAGTAAATTGCTGAGTCCACTAAAACACGTTATATATATATATATATATATATATATATATATATTTACAAAATATCATTTAATATTTATTAACTTTAATCTAGTTACGAAATTTATGGATGTCTTCGTGGCAGCGGATAATGGGAATATTAACCGTTTACTTGATATGCATCACCTGAGTAGCTAACATTACTGTCAGCTAATAATTTTTAAATTTTTCTCTTAAAACAATTTTTCAGGATAAGATATCCTCAAGTTCTGTAGCTTTTATCGCTTTGCTAATATTGGCGGTGGTTTCCTTCCAAAACTTTTGGCGTCGAGAATCAACATCTTGATTAGATCAATTTCTCTTTGAGTCACATGTGATACCATTTTTGTGGTTGCTGTTGTTCAATTGATTTGGTTTCTTTTATTTGGTGTAGTTCTTCGTTTGTCGTTATATAGCGCAGCCCAGAAGCTTCTCCCGCTCGAAGAGAGTTTTGATACTTCTGAATGTGTTTGACGCCATGCATGATATCCATATGAAAGTCTCCATCTGACTAGGATATTTAAGAATATAACTCGAGTTTTCAGTTTAATATTTGGGCTCTATAACAGTATATGGTGTTGGCCGCAGCCTATTCTATGTTCAGTTTCCTTATGTCACAAGATAATCTATGTACTGGCAATTCAATTTCTGCCAATGAAAAAATGTCTTCATATGACGAAGGGAACAGCTGGCACGAAGCCAAAACAGTTCCATCTACCCAATTTCACTCACAAGGGAATTGTTTTCAGGCACTTTCCAAAGGTACCGCGCGCTGGAATCGACCTCGATCCAGTCCGATAACATCAGAAAGTCTCCTTTCAGTCAAATCGACCCTGGTGAGATTCGAAACCGTATCTCATGATCAAAAGCCGAAAGTGCTAACCACTCGGCCACATTACGCTTTTTGTCTCTATATATACATGTGGTTGACTTTATGTAGTTTTAACATCGGTTATCGTATACTATAGCCTAAATTAATAGGCTATAATATGTTTGAGAGTCGAACTATATGGTAAGTGTAGTTCTAACTCTGAATTTTGAGCTAAAAATCTTAAGGTCAACTTCTAGGCCAGGTCGACTTACTGGCCGCAATTTACAATACACTGATCCTGAATTTAATAATTTCATGAATCAAGTTGGGTTTACGGATATTGTAACGTTTCTAAGTTGGATAGGGAAATCAAATAAAGGTTGATTAGATTTTCATAACTTCGCGCCAATGTCATTGAAAGTTAACATGAACTCATCTTTTCCCGGTTATGGGTTAAATAGCAGTACAAATGGAGTTCACTGGCTTTAGGTAGAAACTCATTTGAAAGTAGGAAAACTCTTAATTAAAATCCAGCCCGAAGAGGGTTGTATTCCGTCAGGATATATATTCCAGACCCACCACTACCACTATGACTGCAGTACATCTTTTTCGGCTATGACACATGACGTGACGAGACCAGCTTCCAGACAAGGA